TTCCCCCTCACGGAGGCCACACCACCCGGCTACACCTCCCACCACATCCCCCGCCCCAACCGCCGTGGCGGTGGTGTTGCCCTTATCTCAAGGACACCACTTGCCCTATCCCCCTACTCCACTGGCTCTTTCCCCTCCTTCGAGCACCTCACCCTCTCCCACCCCTCATTCCTCTCCCTTAAAATCCTCCTCCTCTACCGGCCCCCTAAAACCTCTCCCACCTTCATCTCTGACATTTCAACACTCCTCACATCTCTTTGCCTCTGCTCTGATCGCCTCATCATCCTGGGCGACTTTAACCTACACTTCACCCCCTCCTGCTCCATCTCCACAGACTTCTCTTCCCTGCTCTCCTCACTCAACCTCTCCTTACACATAAACTCCCCCACTCACAGTCACGGCCACCCACTCGATTTGGTGATCACCCGGGGCCTCAGTGTCTCGGATGTCACTATTACCGACAAGGCCATCTCTGACCACTACTTCATCTCCTTCACCACCTCCACCCCCTCCCACCTCCACCAGACCCACCACCATCTTCTACCGCCCTTGGAAGAAGTTACCCCCACAATCCCTAACCGATGCCTTGGAGTCCTCTGAACTCCTCTCCCTCTGGCCTTCAACCCTCACCGACCCCTCTTCTCCTCTCTCCCTCCTCCACAATACCCTCTCTCCACACTCGATACTCTTGCCCCCATCACTTCCCGCACTGTCTCCTACTCCCGCTCCTCCCCCTGGTACACCACCCACCTCCGCTCACTGAAATGCCAGGTGCGGGCTGCTGAACGCACCTGTGTCAAATCTGGCCTAACGGTCCACCGACAAATCTGGCTGGACCTCCTCAAAATTTACCGCTCCACTCTAGCCTCGGCCAAGTCGTCCTTCTACTCCAGGATAATCCTGGAGGCGAAGAACAACCCCAGGCTACTGTTTTCCACCACAACCCGACTCCTCCGTCCCCCCCGCCACCCCGCGCAGGTCATCTCCTCCAACCTTCACTGCGAGGAGATGCTGGATTTCCTTGAATCCAAGATCAAGGGAATCCGCTCCGCGGTCACTTCCCCTCCAACTTCCACCCACCACCCACCCCTTCCCTCCCACACTCCGACTCCTACCCATCCTCCCCTACACACCTTCGTACCCGTTTCCCCACCCTCTGTCACTGAACTCATCCTATCCCTAAAACCAACCACCTGCTCCCTTGACCCCATCCCCACTCCACTCCTTATCTCCCAGCTCCACTTTCTTGCCCCACATATCACTGACATCATCAACCTGTCCCTCTCCTCTGGCTCTGTCCCCATTCCATTAAAAACTGCCATCATCACGCCCACCCTGAAAAAACCCTCCCTTGATGCGTCGCAGCTATCAAGCTACCGGCCCATCTCCAACCTCCCCTTTCTCTCCAAGGTCTTGGAAAGAGTTGTCGCCTCCCAACTGCGCTCTTTCCTTTCCACCCATTCTCTTTTCGAACCCCTTCAGTCAGGTTTCCGTGCTGCCCATAGCACAGAAACTGCCCTGGTCAAGGTCACCAATGATATCCTGACCATCTGTGACCAGGGCTCCCTCTGTCTCCTCGTCCTCCTCGACCTATCGGCAGCATTCGATACGGTCGACCACGCTATCCTACTCCACCGCTTGTCCTCCCACCTCAACCTTCAAGGCACTGTCCTTGAATGGTTTAGGTCGTACCTTTCTCACCGTCTTCACTTTGTCTCGACGAATGGCTTCTCCTCCACCCCCCGTACTGTCTCATGTGGTGTCCCTCAGGGCTCTGTCCTCGGTCCCCTCCTCTTCACCCTCTATATGCTCCCCCTCGGTGACATCATCCGCAGACATGTTAACTTCCACATGTATGCGGATGACACCCAACTCTACCTTTCCTCCTCTACTCTCAACTCCACGACCACCGATGTCCTGACAGCTGCCTGTCCGACATCGAGTCCTGGACGAGAGACAACTTTCTTCAGCTCAACGTGCGAAAAACCGAGGCCCTCCTGATTGGCTCACGTCAGCGCCTCCGCACCTCAGGCGCTGACACCATCAGCATCCAAGGCTGCACTCTCCACCTCTCAAAGCCAGTCAGGAACCTCGGCGTTTTGTTCGACCCTGAGCTGTCCTTTCTCCCTCACATCCGCACCACAACTGGCACCGCCTTCCATCACCTCCGGAACATCGCCAGACTACGGCACTACCTCACCCCTCACGCTGCTGAAACCCTGGTTCACGCCTTTGTCACCTCAAGGCTGGACTATGGGAACTCTCTCCTCGCCGGCCTTCCCGCCACCTCCCTCCACAAGCTGCAGGTCATTCAGAACTCTGCAGCTCGTGTACTGTCCCGCACCAGGCTTCGGGACCACATCACTCCCACCCTCGCTCGCCTCCACTGGCTCCCCATCCCCCAGAGGATTGATTTCAAGATCCTCATCCTCACCTACAAGGCCATTCACGGCCTTGCTCCCTCCTACCTCTCCAACCTACTATCCCCCTACCTACCTGCCCGTACCCTCCGTTCCTCTGGCTCCGGTCTGCTCCACGTCCCCCGCCCCAACCGCCCTACCATCGGTGGTCGGGCCTTCAGCCTCTCAGCCCCAGGCTCTGGAACTCCATCCCCCAGTGCCTTCGCCGCTTCCTCCCTTTCCTCCTTCAAGGCCGGTCTCAAAACCTTTCTCTTTGACCGAGCCTTCAGCTCCCCTCTCGACTCTCTTCCCCTCCTCGCTCCCTCCCTTCCCTCCCCTCACCCTGACCATTTCCCCCCTCCTCGCTCCCTCCCTTCCCTCCCCTCACCCTGACCATTTCCCCCCTGCTCGGGTCATGACCCAACTGTGCAGCGCCTTGGGACGTCCTCCTGACGTGAAAGGCGCTTTATAAATGGAATCTTGTTGTTGTTGTTGTTGTTAACCAACCTGTGGCTAAAGCTCCCAGGATTAGATAAACAGGATGTTTCCTGGAGAAATAGGTCCACCTCTGGTCAATGTCACAGCGGGAGTGCCGGTCCATCTCTGATCAGGCCACACCTGGAGCACTGTGTCCATCTCTGGTCAGGCCACACCTGGAGCACTGTGTCCAGCTCTGGTCAGACCACATCTGGAGCTCTGTGTCCGGCTCTGGTCAGACCACATCTGGAGTACATTAACAGCAGAGTTTGCACTTCCCTTTAGCTCCTCACAACCCGTACATCACATGGAATGGTTGTGAAAGTCTGTTTATTTACACACTTGTGTTTCTGGTTTCAGGTGGTTATGTGGACAGTCAGGCTCCCAGAGGAGGTGAGTGACATGTCATGTGTGTTGGCTGTGAAATCACGGCCCAGTCCCTACCACAGCCCCGAGCCACAGAGTGAGCGCTCCATAACATTCCCCATCACAGCCTCCAGTGCTCTGGCCTCCACCGCCTTCCTGGAAACCTGTACCATTTGTTAATTCCCCTCTGGGTTACAAACAGCTTCGGCTGCAGTCTGTCCTGAAATTACCCTTTGCAACTCTCAATCTGTGTCCTCTTGTTCTCCTGTCTCGATACATCCTAAACTATTGATCTGGGTTTATGTTCTCAATCCTAATTAACATTTAATTCAAGTCTATAAAGTGGCCTTCTCCAGAGGAAGAGCCTTAGCCGTGTAATCACTGCTCACCACTCAGTGACAATCCTAAACACACACACAACAACAACTTGCACTTATACACTTTTGCAGGGCAGCGGCTCAGATGGCTTAATAGTGGCGGAGCCTAACTCTGAGCCGGGAGCAGGAGGGAGGTGGCCATAAGCACAGTCGAACAGGAACGTTTTCAGGCGAGGGAGGGGCAATGCAGAGGGAGGGGCAATGCAGAGGGAGGGGCAATGCAGAGGGAGGGGCAATGCAGAGGAGGGGCAAGGCAGAGGGAGGGGCAAGAAGGAGGGGCAAAGCAGAGGGAGGGGCAAGGCAGAGGGAGGGGCAATGCAGAGGGAGGGGCCATGCAGAGGGAGGGGCAATGCAGAGGGAGGGGCAATGCAGGGGGAGGGGCAATGCAGAGGGATTGAGGGAGAGTGTTCCAGAGGTTTGGGGTACAGAGCTGAAAGCTACGATGGTGGGGTGGAGGGTGCGAGGGACGAGCAGGAGGCCAGGGCCAGTCGAGTGGAGGTGTTGACCGGGTGGTGGATTGGGAAGTGAGGAGGTGGACACAGAAAGAGGAGATACACACACACACATTCCCAAACACATACATACAGAGGAGAGAGAGAGAGACAGACACATGGAGACACTCAGACACACGGAGGGAGACGCACACACCACACCAGACACACACACATGACAAAAGACACAACAGACACAACGCACAACACACAACACAGAC